ATTTCATTTGATTTAATTGGCCCCGATGGCTTTTTTATTACATGACGTGACGCTAGAACAGAACAGTTGTCTAAAATTCGTCGACAAATGGATGTACTGTTCATTCGATATTAAATGAGTAGCTGTGATACAGAGAAATTTAGTCGAAGTGAAAGTTAGAGAGATCATGCAACTCGCGTTGGAGGTCGAAATTTTTCATATTTCGACGGGGCAATATAAATAATATAAAGCGTCCGTCTATAAAATAATTGAAAGAGATTTCTTTACGTCTCAGTTAACCCTCTGTTTTACTTATTTTCTTCTCAGTTGTTGAGATAAGCATTAGTTATTGAAATTATGAAAAGGTATTGAAACGTTATATATATATATATATATATATATAATTTTTATTTATCAATGTTTAATTTAAAGAAGTTAAATTTAAAATTCAAATCGAAATTTCGTAGGTTTGCCATTTGCTTTCTTTTCAAATCAAAATCCATAACTTGTACCACGAGTGCGACTAATTATCTAATTTTCGACAAAAACTCTGCAAAACAGTGTCTCTGAACCGTCTTATATCTTCCACGTATACAGTCGATCTACTTATTCCATTGGAATCACTGCAACATGATACAGTTCTATTATCATCTCATGAAGATCCGCAAATAGCATCTACATCTTTTCAACGAAACCTCAACACTTTGGAAGAATTCATCAAACCAAAATTGCCAGTGACTTGTAACAACTCAACAATTCCAACTAAAAATTCGGTTAAATACTTGAGATTGCACCTCGACAGAAGATTAACCTGGAAACAATATATCAAAGCTAAATGTAACCAACTGAAGTTAAAAGTTAAACAATATTATTGGCACTTGGGTAGACGATCAAATCTAAATCTGGAAAATAAACTACTGTTTTACAAAGTCATCTTGAAACCCATCTGGACCTATGGAACAACTCCAACTCTTTCAATCATAAAACAGCAAGGATAATCGCAAATGCACCTTAATATGTAACAAACGAAACAAACCATCCGTGATCTCAGGATCCCCATAATTAAAAAGAGGAGACAGGTGCAATGGCAACAGGTGCAACTCATGCTAACCCTTTGGTCACGCAACTGTTGGATTCTACAGTACACACGCGAAAACTAAAAAGAATACTACCCTGTGGATCTTCACTATAGATTTATATAAACATCCAAGCCTATGTATCTCATTAATCGACTACCAGTACTCTGCATGCCACTGACTCACGCCAGCTTACTTACTTATGTAATCCTCAATGAGGATTGATTGTAACGTTCTTAGAAAGAAAATGAGAAAAAGCTACGGGCATCAATCCATCTCAACGTGCGACGTTAACTCTCGAAACGAGTCGCTTCCAACCCCAATGTACTCGACACGTATTTAAACGTCGAAATGTACTACTATTGGGGTGTAGATGGGCGTAGAGAAATTGTATATAATAATAATAATAATATTGCTGTATATAATAATAATAATATTATTGTATATAATAATATTATTAATATTGTATATAGTAATAATAATATTATTGTATATAATAATAATAATATTATTAATATTGTATATAGTAATAATAATATTATTGTATATAATAATATTATTAATATTGTATATAATAATAATAATATTATTAATATTGTATATAGCAATAATAATATTATTAATATTGTATATAATAATAATAATATTATTAATATTGTATATAGTAATAATAATATTATTGTATATAATAATAATATTATTATTATTATTAATATTGTACATAATAATAATAATATTATTATTAATATTGTATATAATAATAATAATAATAATATTGTATATAATAACATTATTAATATATAATAATAATATTAATAATATTATTATTATAATAACAGTAATTTTTTAGTAATATACCAATCGTCGAAATAAACATCTGGCGTGACCGTAGTCTCGTTGAGCGTCCCGTCGCGTTTCTACCTTCGCGAGAAAGAAAAGCTTAAACTCTCAAGAATGTTTCGCGAGAGAGAGACGAGTGCTTCTTCTCGAAGCAGACGACGAGCAGCCCGGCGTCTTGACTTCTCAGCCAGACGAACGCCGAATGAATCCCGAATTCATCCTCGTAAGAGACGATCGTAACGTCTTCTACGGTGGTATCTGCATGGTGCACGAGAAACGAGGAGCGAAGGGAGGGGGGAGGAGGGAGGAGGAGGTGGTTCGCCGGGGAAAAATAGAAATCTTCCGTCCCACGAGGACGTGGATTCGCAGGGAGGGTTAATACCCGAGCAAGTTTCCGAGCTTATCCCGATCGAGGATCCACGAGGAGAGCGTCTGGGCTCCCCTTCGTTTCGAGTAATCGAATTGACCAAGGGGACGGGTACGTTTTGCAGCCGTGAGAGGCCGCGGTGGCTCGTTTTACGCCTCGATGCCTCCGAACAGATCGGGGAAGATCGTTGTTCCGAGTTAATTCGAAATTACGCGAAACGATTGTTGGCGGAGGGGTGAGGGGGGGGGGGCGAATTCTTCCAACTTTGCTTCATTTTCGAACGAGCAGGCAGTTGGAGCTATTGTGGCTGTGGCAGTGTAGCATCGTGGTTGTTCTAACCTGTGGTTATTATACTTCAGTGTGCGTTTAATTATAACAGATGGCCTGTATAAGAGAAATGCACGAAAGAAATGCACGAATGTGTATGAACGAGCTTTTACATCGTGCAGAGTTATTTGGAATAAAATTTTTGGAAATTACTTTACGTCTGGAGATTGACAGTTGTTGGTTATCAACGATAATAATGCAAACATTGTTTGATCGATGTTTTTAATCATTCATTCCCATCTCTTGAACGCTCGTTACTTAGTTGCAACTCTTCTTGCAATTTTTCACTCGTTGTATTTAAAAAATTTTCATAATTGCGCCAATGGGTATTTTTCTTTACCCCCCCTCCCCGTGAAAAATGAATAAAATGAATAAAATGAATAATCGAAGCAACTGACCAAGACACTCCCGTCTCTAAAAAGTGTGCTCGCGTGTATAGACGAAGAAGCGAATCGATCGAAACGACAAAGTGACTCTTGAAAGAGTTCCCTCACCCCCTCGGATTATTGATCGGCGCGGTCACAGTGGAAATCCGGCGATCAGAGTCAGCCAGAGGCTGATTAACCTTGATCGGCAAATAAAGTCTGGCGGTAACTACTCGAGTGACGAACGAACGAGCAATTGGACCGATCGGTTCGAGGGACGGAATCAGTGCGCGAACTAATCGACCGCAAATCGCCGCACTCCAGACACAATCGTGTCCGAAATACTCCCTTTCAATGCGCTGCCGATTGTCCGAAGGGCCCGGGTTTGTCTCTCGATCGTGTTTCAAACTAACCGGACGATTTCCTTGCGGTTTCGAACGCGGGAATCGTAATTTTCTCCGCGTCACGACCAGCCTCGAAGTAGCTTTCACGTGGAAACTGGCGAACTTTGCCGATGAAGAAGAAGATGAACCGGACGACGATCGTTTTAAATTTTAATGCTCGCGCCGCGCGACTTCAACGCGGAGTCGTGACCCTCGATCGTGATTTATCCAACTCGGGTTGAGCTGAGTTTCTGAACGTGTCTCGGGATTTCTGAGTGATTTTGAATAGGCCGAGTCGTGTTTGTTTCTCATGGCCGCGATCGGTTGTTTGGAATTTCGAACGAGTCTTAAAAACTGCGTGTCGAGCGCGGATTTGTCTGCGTTTTGGCAGAGGTATCGTCAGAGTTTGATTTAACGAAGGAACTTCATTACTTTATTAGTGGAGGCTGCGGGCATTCTGTTTCCATCGATACCGTTATTTTATCGACAATATTAATTTATGAACGCTATTATTTTGTCAACAATATTAATTTTATCAGCGATGAAAGTAGAAGCTACGCAGAAATTTATTAAATATTGTAGAGAGCGCTGCATTTTATGTATAAATTTTCTGTATCGTGATAAAAATATAGTGAAAACAAGATAAAATGTACGTAGCAAATGGTTCAATTGGTTCCTTTTCTCACAAGTCAGTTGAACAATCAGCCACGTTGCAACCTAAACCTAAACTCTGCTCACTATTTCTTTACCCTTGCACAGAATGTCCCATTTCAATTTATAAATGCAATTATCTTTGAAATTTATCATTTAAATGACGCATCATTTACTATTTATCATTTCAAAAACGTCTCGAATGCATTTTTTTCTGCTTTGAAAGGGCAGCAACCTAAACCTAAACTCTGCTCACTATTTCTTTACCCTTGCACAGATTGTCCCATTTCAATTTATAAATGCAATTATCTTTGAAATTTATCATTTAAATGACGCATCATTTACTATTTATCATTTTAAAAACGTCTCGAATGCATTTTTTCCTGCTTTGAAAGGGCAGCAATTTGAGAGTACAGTTAGTTTGTCTCTAGATAGATACGTAATTATGTAATTCTTTTTTTTTTTTTGTGTCAGTCGACGCAGGTCATTTTCTATAAGAAAGTATTAACCTATGTAGATCGAAAAGCTACTAGCTTAGGAGATAACTTTAACTTTAATTTTATAAAGTCTATCATATGAAGGACAAGCGCAGTATTTTTGTATTATACTGCTTATACTGCTATTTTGCATTATACTTTGTATATATACTGCTCTTGCCTTTTATGTACAGATTTTAGAAGAAATATCTCCTAAACTAGTGGATCTTAGACGAGGATAGGTTAATAACATTTTTGTAGAGAGCAACTTATACATAATCAAACAAAATTACATAATTATACTCAAAAAAAAAAAAAAAAAATTAAAATACACACGTTCAAGTGTACCGAATTACTACCCTCTCCAAACCACAAAGAAAGATGCGTTCGAGACATTTCTTAAATGACAAGTAGCTTCGGAGATGATTATTTTTCAACCACTCAGATTGGAACAATCTGTCACTCGCGCGCGGCAACCGCCGAAAAGTCGATTTCCAAAATTCCAGCCAAAGTGGTTCGCTTTTTGGTTGCCTTACCGATGACGGTGAAGTTGACCTTGAGGTTCCTGGTCGGCGAGTTGCGGAAATCCACCCTGCACCTGTACACCCCCTGGTCGCTCTCCCTCAGGTCACGAATGGTCAGCTGCGCAGGCGGGCTCGCTCTGAAGGACGCTCGCTCGCCCCAGAAGTGAGACGCGCTCCACAGCTTCGCCTTGCCGAATTGTCGATTTCTCGCGTCGTAGCTGAAACAGAAAGCAAAAAACGCCGAACGTTCGCGGTTATTTATATTCCGGGCGGGACCGACAGACAGACAGACAGAGAAAGAGAGAGAGAGAGAGAGAGAGAGAGAGAGAGAGAGAGAGAAAAGTTCGATGGCCGCGTAATAATAAGAGTCTAAATCATAGGAGCGGCGCGTGGACGACGCGCCATAGTTCACGAGGTGACGTGAACGTAGCGCCGGTCTTATCTAACGCTATCCAATTTTTCACGCAACTTTCGCAATTCGTCATAGTCGGCGGGCGAGAGTTTGCTTGTGCTCCCCGTGAGCGCCAAGCCTGAAACTCAATACAGGCGGACAGAAGTGCACTCGGCCGAGAGAGTCAGATAACCTTTCAAGCACTTCGGAGATCGAGCTTTCCTGTCGGAGACGGCATTACGGAGTGTATCGGCGAGCCAGAGGCTCGAAAATGGCCGTTCTCTCAAAGTTGTGGACTTTGGTTTATGAACGAAACGCGGCACACATCGGACCCAAATCTTTCGCAAAGTCGTCGTGCTTTCGTGCTACGTTCTGGCCGTTGTCTCGCTAACCGCTGTTCGCGTTAAGCTTGTGTCTACGGCGTAGCACAACGTCGAGGAACTTCCCTGTCGTCTCTTGTTACGGCATATTCCAAAATATTACCGGTAAACATTTATCCGCGCAGATGCAAGCAACACGGATACAAGCAAACTGAAGCGCGCTTGACAAAGCGTGCTTCAAAGTTACGATGATGTCCACTGCTAACGAGTCGAATCTGGCGATTTTCCATTTTCTTTCTTCAACGCGAGTTGTAAATGCCGAAAGTCGAAATATCTCTCTCGAATGGACAATTCTTCGACGTGAGTCGATACTTTTTGCGAAGAATGTCGAATCTCTCGATGTAAAATATTCCATTTAAAAAAAAAGAGACTATTCATTTTTTCATTGCAACATTTCTCGCTGCGGATAGTAATAGCGTTATAAATCAAATTAAATGTTGACTTGTATAGAAAGGTCATAATATGAATTTTAATTTAATTTCTTCTTTTCACTACGTAACTTTGATAATCGCACATTGATAATTTTTCTATTTCATTTTTATTCACGATATGGTGACTAAAAATCTTGTCCCGATTAACCAATGTTTCGATCATCAACATTTACTTCGTGCATGGGTATTTCGTACTTGATATAAAGTTATTAATTTAGAACAAAATTGTTGGAAATTATAAATTACTTCACATCTGGGGATCGACATTTGTTGGTTTCTACGTAAATCTTTTTGTATCTGCAGAAAAGGAATTCGAGAAGCGTTAGTATATTGCAAGAAGTGTTGTATCTGCAAGTTTCTCTTAAATCGAGTCATTGATACCAAGAAACGCAAAAGTATACTTTCTCTATACGTATATTGTAACAAAATATATATTAAAAGAATATATATGAATATATTATAAATATATAATTAGTTAAGTATAAATTATAAATATATAATTATAAATTATAATTATAAATTATAAATATATAAAATTATTATATAAAATATATAATTATTATAAATATATAAAATTATATATTTTACATAAAAAATATATAAATATATTATAAATTGTATATTTCGAATGTACATGAAATATCTAAGTGTTAGACATTGAAAGTCTTTGATGTCAAACCATCTTCCGTTTATTTGAATTAACACCGAAACTATATTTTCCTTGTCCCTCGTCTGGGAAACGTGCGACGCAAAAGAGACAGAACCACGACCAGATTTTCTCCCAGAATATCGTCCCGACAAAATTCCGGCAAAGGCGCGCGAAGAAAAGGCGCGAGTGCAATTAATAGGCTTTCACGAGTCGCGAAATCTATCGGTGCCTCTTCAATTTCTCGCAAATCGTCCGAGATGGAAGGTAAATGAGCAACGAGGGAATCGAAAATCGGGCCAACTCCCTCTCCCACTGCCTCTCGAGTCATCGTGCTCGTTAAAAACCAATCCAATTTGTCTTATAGCCGCGGACAAAGTGCGCCGGATGAGACTGTGCGCGACTGTCGAAACTTCCCAGGACGAGTCAACATTGCTCGCAGTGTTCCCTCCCTCGTTCATCGACCATGCGACGTCTTATCACTGCAAACTCGCCGGAACTTTGGCGCTCGATTAGACTTACGAAGATCGTCCGTTGCTTGCCACTCGCCGCTTCAGCCGATAATCGACGTCCTGACGCTGACGCGAGAACTTGGCCGACCGTTTTCTTCGCACGTTCGCCGACAGGGAATAAAATCTGACGCCATGTATTGGAAACTGATACGCTCGCATCGCAATTTGTTCCCATTTCCATTGTATGTATTGTAGGTCAGTGACATAATTTTTTAAATAGCAAACTAAAGCAGACGAAAGACGGAGTCACGACTAGAATCGTGTAAGAATGTTAATATCACAAATGAGGAGAAAAGAAGATGAATTTTTCGTGGATAATTAATTTTAAAATTTTCACTCGTCACAATTTGCGCTTGTTTTAGTTGAATTTATTATAGTTGTTTCCATCTCCATTCTCTCAGTCAGCGACGTAATTTAGTGAACGAGAAAGATGGTGCAATGAAATCCTGTTTGGAACGTGCAAGAATTTTCATATCGCGAATTGGAGAAAGTTTAAAAGTAGTGGACGAATTTTCTCGTGGATAATTAATTTTACAATGTACATACGTTACAAACGAGTAATTAGAAATGATAACGAACGGAATAATAATGAAACTGCGGATTTTTATGCAGATTCATATTTTCGGGAAAATAATTAAGAAGACAGAGACACGTTTAAAACATTGTTTTACGTACCAGATATTACAGAAAGCTTTCGTACGGTTTAGCCAAATTTATCACAAACGTGCAAAAATCCGCAGTCTGACGATGAAACGCTATAAATAACGTGCTTTTACGATGCATTCGTTCTGCTTGGCTCGTCGATAGTATGAATGGACCTTTGTACTTAAAAGGGAACGTGAACCAAAGTGTCAATCATCGATTTTGATCAAATACGGCTTAACTGTTCCTTTTTTTGGAAAAAAATATTTGACACGTATTTTTTTTTTTTATCGGCAATGTTGCGGGGCGTAAACTACCCTTCAAGTTGGGGCTTTGGAATTTATTTCAAAGATACTGATTTTCGTACTGAAAATATAGTATTTTGTATAGATGAACGAAACTAGTGTTCTCTTAACGAATTTAATGGTGCATTACCGTTTGTTTAAACAATATATCGAAGAAGTATTTTCTTACAATTTGTTGACAGTTTTCTCGAGCAAGTGTCGATAAATTTTCTTTCACTTTAAGCATTCGCTTCGAATTCAAACGGATAAATTGGAGTCTTGATTCTTCTATTACGAAAATATTCGTTACTTTCAAAAGTTTCTCGCTTGTTAGACATGTATGTATGAAATGGAGACCTTTGAAAGAATGATCTTTGACCTCAAGAAGAAAGGTAGCTTATTAGAATGAGCATACGTGGGAAAATATGGAGAACGCAGTGAAAAAAAAAAAAAAAAAAAAACAGCAGAAATTATTTTCGTTACGCGATACGCGAAAGTTCGATGATAAATGGAAAGCAGTCTGATAATTCTAATGGCCAGACAGATGACATTCTGTTGCTGTGAGCTTCGCGAAGAGATAAAGTCGAGTGGAAAACGAGCGTTCGAAAGTAAAGTAAGAAACAAGGGAGGGCAGTATATCGGCTGGAGAAAGGGGCGGACGAGGGTGAAGAAGGATGGCGCGCGCGAAAAAATTCTCTTGGTCGATGAGAAGAGGGGTGGAGAGGCACGAACTCTAAACAAATTAAAATAATTGCCGCAACTCGTCGGTAGATCGTGCCGGACTTAAAAGAACGTCGTTCCCCGTGAATACGAACGAAAGAAGAAAGTAAGAAAGGTGAGGGGCTTTTGGAGAACTGTACATTCACGGCTGAATTTCCTTCGAACGTTTCGTTAAACGGATACGTACGATTCTGTTCGTTTTACTCTTGCATACGTCGACTCTCTCCGCCGTTCCGTCGAAAATATGTTGGAACAACACAGCTCGAAGATCGTTAAGTTTAAAAGATGGTACAACTTTAATCCTGGAAGACTCGTTTCGTGGAAAGATAAGGGAGGACGTGATGAATTACGCGAGAGTGAAGAGAGGATTTGGCGCACGCGAGAAGAACGCGGAAGGGTTTCCATTTAAGAAAGTCAGTCCATTTTCAGCTCGTGATATTTTCGTTTAGCTTTAAAGAATTGAACGTTACTTGGATGTACACAAATGTCGCAAACGAGCAAGTGGAAAAGAAAAATTGAGTCGAAAACCACGCTGAACCAAAAAAAAAAAAAAGAAAGAAAGAAAAAGAAAAGAATAAAATTTCACGCGATCAGTTTAGACGATTCGTGTCTGCATACTACGACAGATACTCTAGTTTGAATTGAATATTATAATATTCGAATTTTAATACATGTGTCCTGAGTTTCCTACAAACATTATACAAAAATCCTCGACCTCTGAATAATAATCCGTGATGACAAAAACGAGAAATTCCCTCGGCCGATAGTGAGGAGGGAGAAGAAGGTGGATAGATAGGGGGGCGGGGGGGGGGGGAATGGGCACTAAACAAATTAAAATAATTGCCGCGACGAGTCGCGAGA